ATCCTAAATCTAGAAACAATTTTACTTGCCACTTTTGTGGCAAAGTAGTCAAACGTGGTGTATATCCTTTAAAATGGCATTTTATTGGAGGTCTTTCGGCTGTTACTGATTGTCCAAATTGCTCCACAACATGTAAAAGAAGAAATAAAGTCTTATATGCAGAAAAAAGAAGTAGCAAAGGTGGAGAATTTAATGAACTCAAGTTTGCATTTTGATGATTATGATCTTAGTGAAGAGGACGATGACTGTGTTGAAATAGAAGGTGGTAGTAGTGTGGCCGTGGACTAGCTTGATCAAACCGATCAAGTGAACCACGTAAATCTTGTATTCTKTCTTTTTTCTGTTTTTACTTTACCRTTGTCTTGTCGTGTGYGTGATCTTCAGCATTGTTTCCTAACACAGTCACATGTGGGATTGCATTTAGGGTCAATTTAGTGAATTAAGAAATTATATTGTTACTATTTTTTAATAGTTCTATACAAAGGATGGGAGTTTGTCATTAGTAGGTATGCTTGATTTGATGATTAATTTAGTATTAGCTTACATGTCAAAGGGAGGGAHGCTGCCCTCTAGAAAGCACGTCGCGTTTTGTGTTTTTCCTTTGTGTTTTCTTCGTTCTCAAGAAAAAACCACTTCAGTTTTTATTAGTATTGCATGTGACGGTTTGCGTTCCATTATAGCCTAACAATTCCCCCGCAACACAAAGTTACTAGAAAGTCATAAGAGACTATGGAACACAAACCCTAACATAAGACTCATTGGCATATACGGAAGAAAAGCATACCTGAGCAGAGCGACATGCTAAAAAGTGAGGGGTCAGGCCTAGTGCTCGCAGCTCCCGAACACTGTGTTGTGTAGGCTTTGTTTTCTGACAAAAACAAGCACCRGCTAAAACTATAATTGGTATTGGCTAATTATAGAAATATAACATTCTTCCATTTTCTCTAACATCAAAATTAAGCTAAATCCTTGGGTAATACCTGTTCTCCAACGACACCAAGCACGGGTACAAGGCTAACATGAATGAGGCAGAAGTTATCTGGTCCTGAGTAAAGAACAAGAAACCAACATAAGCACAAGCAACTACAATCTWCACATAAACAGAACGAGACCATAAAGGCTTGCATAGTAATTTCGTGTGCACGTTTATATGATGATCTCAAAAAAATCTTGCATTTAGAGAGTGAGAGTACCAATATCTTTACACACGTGGGTTGATCCCATTAGGGCAAAAGATTCTAAGTATATGGTGTAGAAATGAATAAACAGAAAATGAGAAAATACGTTTGCTAATACTCCCAAACAGTCTATACAGCAAGAAATCAGACGTGTAGACTGAAAACAAAACCCTGGAACAGCGGTGTGGRCAACCTTGTGGTGAAGATGTATGTGAACTGTTGGGACGAAAGTCTATGTGATATATGTCCTAATTAGACCTTACCACGAACGAAATCAATATGAATATCTTTTGCATAATGTGGGGATGCAGGATCAGGTTGCTTGTGAGGTCGACAGTGTTCACATTGTCACAACAGATCAATGTGCCTTTGARGTCGGTCAGTGGAGTTCAATTGAAAGGTTGCAATGCAACAGYATTGGCAGTACGTTAAATAAAACTCTTGAGTTTAAGTTGGAGTTAAATGTGGCATTGGGAGATAATTGYTCTTTAACAACCACCTGGAATTATATACTACGATTAAAACATACAAGACTACGCAGACATTGACCTAGTTAAGCAATATGATTAACAAGATCCATAACCTAATGAATTTTGTGGGCATATGATGAATTGTAATAGTAAACTTACCTGTTGAGAAAAACAGTTGCCGCAGAGCCTCTATGAAGGGCATAGACTCGATGTCACCTAAGAAGTATTACAAAGCATTATATAATCACTAAAGTATAGGAAGAATGCAGAAAAAATAAGGTTTCATAAAGAAGTAGTACCAACTGTCCCTCCTAATTCTATCACACATACATCTGCTGGACCCACTTTGCCATCCACAGGAATAGCAGAAACCGACTCAATCCAATCCTTAATAGCATCTGTTATGTGTGGGACTACCTAAAAGAAGATTGAAATTGCAGAGCAGAAGTAAGTACTAATCTCCCTGTATTAAAAATAATAATTCAAGTTATGCACATATACTTGCCTGAACAGTCTTTCCAAGATAATCACCTTTTCGTTCCTTCTCGAGAACAGACTGACAAAACGAGATCAAACCACTGAATCAGTACCTTCACTGATATCCACAACTATAGGAATCATGGTACATCAATTTGGGTACCTGATAGATCTTTCCGGTGGTTATGTTGTTATCCCTGGTGAGCCTCACATCTAAGAACCGTTCATAGTTACCCAGGTCAAGATCGACCTATTAAGATTGTATAGAAAGATAAATCATTCATAAAGAATATTTTTAAACTCAGCATCCAACAGAAAGTCCAGATGAAAAACAGGCGAAACTGATCCACTGGATTAGACATGATAGCAATATAAAACAAAAGAAATGGCTTGTGCAAATAGGTGCTTTCTCTCATTAATTCCATTTGAGTTGGAACATCTATGCTTTATCTCTTACTTCTTAAAGAGACRTTTCAATGTATTAGCATCACCGACGTATTTATCGTCGAGCCAACTATATATGAACTCATACAGCATATAATATGGCCAATTCATTCTTTTATATCTCTAGTAGAGACAGTTCCATGTCATGACAGATCAAATAAATTTTACTAAAAGTTTTTCAAGAACGGCCATTTTTTAAATCGTTATGTATAGTTGTTCTGTGAGTTGTGAATGATTTGGTGCAACGATTTAAAGGTGAGGAAATGGCACCTCTCCACCATCATCAAGAACAAAAACCTCTCCATGTTCAAAGGGAGACATTGTACCAGCATCTGTGTTCAAGTATGGATCTGCAATCACCGAAGACCATGACAGATCTCTTAGATACATGTATGGGTCCTTAAATAGATTGATAATTTTATCATAAAATTCACTTGTAAATTCAGATCAATCGCTAGCACAACAAAGGCAAGGGGATACGGGTGGAATAAAAGTTATGTACAGAATGATGAAAATATATATATATATATAGGAACGATCAAATGAGAACAAAGTCAAAATGGCCAAATCACATATGGTTTTACATGCGATTATGGAACACGGTCAATGCAAGAGTGAACGGGCGACCTGGCCCATGACCTCAGGTTGCAACCAAAGTCGCATTATCACATGTACTCTTGCACATGATTTTAGTGTAAAATCACATGTAATTAGGCAGTTTTCGTGTTCTCTTATTTGTATAATATATATATATATATATATAGAGAGAGAGAGAGAGAGAGAGAGTGTGTGTGTGTCTAAGGGGCCATTACCAATCGCTCACTGGTAAGCACTTACCAGCAAAAGCCACCACCCTCATTTACCTAGTCAGGTTGTGAGAATATSTGGAACCTCAAATTAATCTCCAAACAAGCCCTTGAAGGGAGGTTCCAACATMTATAGAGGGGAATTTGTCCAAGTCTAGCTGGGACTCTAACACGGGTAACATTCTCGGCCATCAAAATGRATGGTTTTGTTGGTATACTTCTTCGTCAGGAATGCAAGCTTAGCGGTTAAGATTCTTGTCCTTGCTACGCCTCCTACGAGAAAGATTTTTGGTCCTTGCCATGCTCACTCGGTATGGTAAGTAACACCCGGTAAGATCTTGGTAAACGGCCCCTAATGCAAAGGCGTGCGGGTGTAAAATCACATGTGATTCACTGTTTCAGTGTCATGTTTTCTTATTTTAATCATGACGATATGTATAAAAGGGATCACCATGCCAAGAGTTGTGATATGCGTGAGCAAACGAAACAGGAATGCAATTGGACGGGTTCCGAAGGAAGAGCTACTTGTTAACAGTTTGAAGATGCGAAAGAAATACGGATATTAGCAAAATTTTGTGAGGAAGGTGAAAACCTCATATCAATCTGGAAGAAGATAAGCAAGTATTATGTTGTAAACAATAGAGGTTGTGCAGAAATTAATAAATGAAACGAATAGTAAGAATGAAGAAGACAAACCGATTTTGATGGAGGTGACACGAAGGCCACAAGCCTTGAGAACGACGCCAACGCTACTGGCGGTGACGCCCTTGCCAAGACCACTTACCACCCCTCCAGTCACCAGGACGTACTTCATGTTTAAGGAAACAGATAGAGCAGGTGCCGGTGGAGGTTGGGGCGTCAAACTCACTTCAGTCGTTGTCCACGACCGCAAGAAACAAGGAGCAGGTTTAAACCCTCGCTCGTCCGGACTGGATTTTAAGCCCACATATGGAATCAATCGTATGATATACATTCACCTATTGCTTTTGTATTTTTTTTTTTTTTTTCTTTTATATATCAACAGAAAAATATTAATTCCAATTTACATAAAAATGTAAACAACCAATTTATTTTTAGGAATATTTCAATCACCTGTTAATCAAAATCTGTTTAAATTATAGAGAAAAAGTTTATAAAAAGCCAAACCAACTATTTTATTTTGAATCATTAAATTCTTGAGCTTTGTTTTAGGAAGAAAAAAAACCATTGAACTTTTTCATTTTGAATAATTATATTCTTGAACATTTTTTTAATTAAAAAATCATTAAACTTTTTTCTTTTAAATGATTAAGTATGTGAACATTTTTTTTAATAAATAACCATTAAACTTTTAAAAATTAGTTATCTACATTCCTTTAACCCAAAAAAAACTACATGTAACCGAMTATAAAGGTCTTACAGTAAAACTACTTATAACCCTCTAAAAATAAGTCAAAAAGARAAAGATCGATAGTACAATGATGGGGCAAAGGGAAGTGGGGAGGGAGTGTGATACCGTTATTTGCAAGGTGTTTGAAGGACGTAGTATTT